GGAGGTCCAGCCCCTGCCCTCTGCCTTCCTGTGGCCACAGGAGCCCCACCTGAAGGGGGCTGGGTCCACACATGCTGATATCCTGGTTGGAAAAGCATGGTTCAGTCATGCTCTCCATCCCTCACTGCTTATCTCTGCTTCCATCTGAGTATAAAAAGGATTATCTACCCTTCTGGGAGGATGGAGAAAGCTGGTATGCAGGGCCGAGCACAATGCCTGAGTGCAATAGATGCTCACTTAGTGATAATCCCACCCCCTTCTGGCCTCAGCACAGACCCAGAGGCCAGAAGGGGGAGTATAATCTTCTGCCTTCCCCTTGGCAGAGACAAGGTCAGAAGACCCCTGCCTTCCTGTGAAATAAGTTCTGAGAGACCAGAACCTTACTAGTGGCATGGTCAACCAGGCACACCTCTCCAATGAGGAGGGTAACTGGATGGACTGGGGTCTCTCTCCCAAAGCCCAGATATAGATGGGTGGTTTCCCCACCCTGAGTTCCTCAGCCCTGTTCAGTGCAGATTTCCCCGGGAACCAGCCCACCCTCAGTGTGTTGAGGTACTTGCGGAAGTACAGCCCCAGGCTTCCCCAGGGCTCTGGCTCCTGGCCACTCCAGTGCTCAGCGCTGAATGTGGGTGCTGTAGGGGCCTGTGTGAAAGAGAGGTAGCCTGGGAATCCCCAGAGCTTCTCTGGCTCTGCCTGGCTGTTCTGGGCTGCCCATCCTTTGGGGGGCCACTGGATAGAGGAGAATATGGGTGGGGAGAAGGGAGCAGCCTGTAGGAGCAATAGGGCCCTAAACAATAGATTTGCTCTGATTGGATGTGGCTGGAGTTCCTGGGACGGCAGGAAGATGAATGGATTATGGGACTTTTTAGATTTTCCCAAGTGCGTGTCATATATTCTTTCATCTGGTCCTCTTGAAACCAGGGGGATTATCTTCTCCATCTGAAATGAAAACACAAGGCATGGGAACTCATGTGATTTACTGAGATGGCTGTCCCTACCCACCCCTAGAAGGGGAGAGGGCCCAATGGATTGTAGAGAAGTAGGCAGAAATAGTACTGGGGCTCTCGCGGGACTGATTTCAACCAAGCAACCTTCATGGAACCATGTGAATGTCTAAGTACCAGGAGCTGTGCTGAATATTGGACAAGGATGGTCTCAGCCAACCCTCTTATGAACGTGCTCGCTGGGACTCCTCTTCCAGGGGGTACCCTCAGCCCCTCTGAGCGACTTCTCTTAGATTCCAGAGTACACAGGGTGCTATCCTGCCCAGAATCAGACGCCACTTCCCTGCCAGAGTCCACAGCCCAAGCGAGTAGATCGTGTAAAAGCGTGTGCCCAGGGCGGGTACTGACAATTGTTCCCTCTGCAGACATACACAGGCTCCATCCTGGTGGCCGTGAACCCATTCCAGGACTTGCCCCTCTACACCAGGGAGCAGGTCCAGCTGTATTACAACCATCACGTAGGCGAGCTGCCACCCCACGTGTTTGCCATCGCCAACAGCTGCTACTTCAACATGAAGAGGAACAAGAGGGACCAGTGCTGCATTATCAGGTGTGTGTGTGTGTGTGTGTGTGTGTGTGTGTGTGTGTGTGTGTGTGTGGTGGTAGTGGGAGGGAAGTCAGATGTCCACAGATATCACCTCTATATGTCCTGTAAAGGCTCATAAAATACCCCCTTTCCCTAATCTTTTTACTCCCAGCATGTGTGCAACAGCAGTGTGATTTAGGACTTAGAGTCCCCGCATGGTGCAACTGCTAACCTAAAGGTGAGAGGTTCAAGTCCCAGAAGAAAGTCTGGGAGACCTTCTGAAAACTCAGCTACTGAAGGCCCCGTGGAACTCAGTTCTGCTCTGACACACATAGGGTTACCTGGATTGGAGCTTATCAGTTGGCAACTGGTTTTATGGAATACAACCCCCTTGGGAGCGGTGCACAAGTCTACCTGGCCTTGGCTATGGGTCCTGTTAGAAGAAAGACTGGGTTTTATCCTCCTGTAAAGAGTTACAGTCTCGGACACTCACAGGACAGTTCTACCATGTCCTATAAAGTCTCTATGAGTCAGCATCAACTCCATGGCAGTGAGTCTGGATTTTTATATTTGATGAGTCCTGTTGACCTCCTTACTAGAAGGCCACCTCCTTCCTGCCCCCCACTAGGCTTCCTTCTTTCCCCACCTGTGCACTACTAAGACCTGTACTCCCCAGTGTTCAGCAAGTATTTACTGAGACCAGAAAGGAAGGGTATGGAGATGGCGAGGGAGCTTTTTTAGAACTGAGGCCCATGATACCTTTCAGGGGTGCAGGAATAAAACAGATGAGGCCTGCTCCCCACACACACTGAAGTCCCAGGGGGCTAGGCAAGGATAGGGGTAGTGGCAGCTCTGGATGACTGGGACTGGCAGGGATGCATCCTCTCCTGTCCAATTCATGACTGTTCTCCTTAGACTGTTCCTGGGGCCGGTATCTGCCTGCTCCCTCACCTGGCCAGGACTTAGAGCTAGGCTATTGGAATGTAGGCATTCGTGATGCACATGTTAGCATGAACAGGAATCCTTAGAGACCTTGTCAAAGTACAGATTCTGACCCAGCAGTTCTGTTTCCAATCTGGAAGTGCTACTAAGCTGTAGGCCACATTTTAGGGTCTACCTTGTAATGATGAAGTTTTCCATAAAGAATGTATTAACAGGTATTGTTTTAAGGCTTAATAATAATAGTAATAATGGCTAACCTGACAGTATGTTATGTGCCAACAGTGCCAACAGTGATTTTTTTTAAAACTTAAACTCCATAATTCATTTTTAAAAGCCTTGTTTTCATTTCTCACCATTTTGGAGTTAATACATAATCACTATAAATATGAATTTTAGAGATTTTCAGGAAAAAATGCTGAATCTGTTTCTAAGAAAAGACTTCTCTCCATCTTCTTGGTGACTTCCTATACTGGCTTCATGAGTCTTCCTGACTGTATGTACTGTAATTTGTTTCTCTTATTAAAGTTGCTTCCAGCTTTCCGTAATTATAATGATAAATAATGCTTTAAGGAGCAAAAAGCTTGCTAAGAAAGATTTTTCTAAATTTAGGATTATTTCCTTAGGTTAAAAGTCAGGAATAATTTGTAAGGTGTCACACTTATGTCAAATTGGTCCCGAGAGGACTGTTGTCATTTCCCTTGACTCATGTAGACAACAGTTACTGGTATAGAAGAGGCACAGTGTTTATGTGGCCCTCTCGGTTCAATCTGTGCTCGCTGCACTCTGTGTTGGTCCTACACGGACAGCCATGGCAGGATAAGACCTTGAGGAGCTAGCGCTTGGCAGGAAAAGAGGAAACATGAATCAATAACCAAACCAACTAATCAATGCCTAAATCGGAGTACACAACTGGAGCCCCTGGGCACCTTTGGGGAGCATGCAGAGGATTTCCACACACGGAGAGGGCTTCAACTGGTCAGAGGGGGTCTGTGGGATGGGGCTGATTGGTGCCGAAGAAAGACTGTCGATTGACTCTCCTCCGTCTTTGCAGCGGTGAGTCTGGGGCTGGGAAGACAGAGACCACCAAGCTCGTCCTGCAATTTCTGGCCACTGTCAGTGGCCAGCATTCCTGGATTGAGCAACAGGTCCTTGAGGCCAACCCCATCCTGGAAGGTAAGGTGCCTTCGGGAAACGGCTGCACTGGGACTTTCCCCCTGGGAAGTGTAGGTGGAGGAAGATGAGATGTGGCCCTGGGTCAAACAGAAACCTCCAATGATCCTCAGGATTTCCAAGGATCCAAACGATGAGGAGGGGGTGGCTAGGTGCCTGTGGGAGCTCCCAGACAGCACAGAAGGAAAGATTGGTGGCGTTGTAAGCTTCCCTGCAGAGCATTTCTCCCAGTGGGAAATACCTATGCCTTTTAAAAGGGGCTCTAAGATAAACGGATTTGGGAAAAGGAAGGTGCGTCAGTGTGGTCATTAGAAGGCAGATCTGTGATGGAGTTATAATGACAAGAGATTTATTGAGGGGTAATTCCTGCAGGAGATAAAAAGGGAAGGCAGCTGAAGGGATAAAGTCAATCTTGGCCAGCCTTTGGAAGCCATTCAAGGATTCCTGCCTTAGGCCAAGATAACCAGATTGGAAGCCCACCCCCACCTCCCACCCATATGCGCAAGGAATTAGCTGGGGGACCAGAATATTATGCCAACACGTCATTCCAGTTTCTTTTCTTTAAAACAAAACAAAAAAGGCAAACTTTGTTCAGCCCTATAAATCCATTTCATTAATTTTCTACTTTATTAAGATAGAATTCACATGCCACCCAATTCATGGTTTAAAGTATAAAATAGTTTTGCGCATATTCACAGAGTAGGACAACAATCACCACCTATTCCGCTAGTTATTGCCGCTACGGGTCCCCAGAAACTACTAATCTACTTTCTGTTTCTCTAGGTTTCCCTATTCTGAACATTTCATATGAACGCAATCATATACGACATGGTCTTTTATGACTAGGTTCTTTCGCTGAACATAACGTTTTCAAGGTTGCTCCATACTTTGACATGTATCAGTAGTTTAACTCCTTTTCGCGGCTCAGTAATATTTCAGTACCCACTTGTCTCAGTTTGTCACACTGTGGTAGCTCGTGTGTTGCTGTGATGCTGGGAGTTCTGCCACCAGTATTTCCAGTTCCAGAAGGGTCACTCATGGTGAACAGGTTTCACTGGAACTTCCAGACAGTAGAGGAAGAAGGAGGAAGAAGCAGTCTTCTAAAAATCTTCTGTATAGCAGCAGGACATGGTCTGATACAGTGATAGAAAATGGGCCCCCAGTTTGGAAGCACTCAAAATATAATGGGGGAAAAGCTCCCTCCTCAAAGTCAGGTGGACCTAATGACAGATTGAGCAAAGCTTTGAGATATTCATTTACTGATGTGGCATGACTCAAAATAAGGATAGCTGCAAATATACATTAATCATCAGAATGTGGAATGTATACAATGTAAATCTCATCAAATGGAGAGTCATCAAAAGACAATGGAGTGCATAAAAATCAATACCCTAAGCATCTGTGAACTGGAACAGATTGGTATTGGTCCTTTTGAGTTGGGCAATCGTGGTTTACTATGCTAGGAATAACAAGCTCAAGAGAAATGATATTTTCTTCATCATCAAAAAGCTCTACCTTGAAGCACATTGCTATTTGTGATAAGATATCAGTACACCTACAAGAAAGATCAGTTAATACAACTATTATTCAAATTTATATACCAACTACTCAAGTCAGTGATGAAGAAATTGAAGAATTCTACCAACTTCTTCAGTCTGAAATATTCAAGCATGCAATCAAGATGCATTGATAATTACTGGTGATTAGATTCGGTAGTTGGAAAAGTGTATGGTCTTGATGACAGAAGCAGTGCTGGAGGTTGCATGACAGAATTTTGCAAGAACAACGACTTCTTCATTGCAAATCCCTTTTGCAACTCAGATTAACAACTCAAAGGGTGACCTCATATGGATCTCACCAGATGGAACACACAGGAATTAGATCGACTACATCTCTGGGAAGAGATAACAGAGATGCTCGAGTTTAGCAGCTAACAGGAGGTCAGGAGCTGTGGAAAAGAAGCTCAGATGCTCATATGTAAGTTCAGGCTGAAATTGAAGAAAAGTAAAACAAGTCCGCGAGAGTCAAAATAAAATCCTCCGTATATTCCACCTGAATTTAGAGAACATCTCAAACATATTTGATGAATGCTGGGATGACGTCAAGAAGAAAGCAAAAAGTCAATGTTCTCACTTTTAAGATGCGACACCTTTCTATGTTGAGAATTAATCTGGTATTATAATTAAGCTACTTGTATGATAAGACTCTGGGTTTGGTTTTCAGTAATATCAGTTCTGGTACTAGATGAGATTTGGCTTTCTTTCATGGCACAACTAGAAGCTTTGAGGCCATTTACTCAGTATTTGAGCAAGGCTTCTGAAACTCTGAGTTCCTCTCTCCTCTCTCTCTCTCTCTCTTCCTTCTCGCAATATAAACCTATCCTTTTATATATTTATAATCATAAGTATCCTGATTTTGTTTCTCTAGACAACCCTGCCTAACACAGCATCCTTGTTCTGGACCTGATTCTAGGGGGAAAGTATCGAGTCTTTCATGTTAAGTCTGATATTAGCTCGGGGGCTTTCATAAATTTGGCTATTTATGATTGAAGAAGTTTCCGTCTATTCCTAGTTTGTCAGGTGTTTTTATTATGAAATGATGTTGGATTTTGTTAAATGCTTTTTCTGTGTATGTTGAAATGATTATGTGGGTTTTAGGTTCTAGTCTATTGATAACATGCTACATTAACGAACTTTCAGATATTAACTAACCTTGCATTTCTGAAATTAATTCCAGTTAATAATCTGTAAAATTATTTTTATGTTGTTTTCCTCCTGTATCTTATGCTGCAGCTATATTTCTACATCTGCAAGCGTATCCCATGTTTTCTCACGTCTAAACATTTATCTACACTTTGCCTCCTCATCACATGCCCTTAGCTGCCTGCTGAAACCCTACCCATACTTAAGTTCTGTGCTCAGCTGTCTCTTCTTGTTGAAGTCTTTCACATGGCCCTACTAAAAACACGTTTTGTCCTTTTGGCTCATCATGAGCATCACCACTCCTTCTGTTCCCCCAGCCTTTGGAAATGCCAAGACAGTCCGAAATGACAACTCAAGTCGCTTTGGGAAGTACATTGACATCTACTTCAACTCAAGTGGGGTGATCGAGGGTGCGCAGATCGAGCAGTTTCTCCTGGAGAAGTCCCGGGTCTGTCGGCAGGTGAGGCTGCTGCCACTGGGCTGCAGCTACACGGTCCAGGGAAACCGCCTGCCTCAAGGGAGATCACTATTGTACCAGAATTGAGAAAGTACCTCCTATCCCTCTCCCCACTCCATATCTCCTTCCCAGGGACCTCCTCAAACTCCCACAGGACCTACTATGTTCCCAAAGACCTACAGCCTTACGTTGATATAGGTTAGTACCTCATATTTGGATAGCAATTATCTTTCCCCAGGAGTCCAAGAAAACAAACAATAGAATTTTCTCCATTTTAAAGTTTTTATTCATACAATTTTTTGTTGTTTTTGTCATTCTTTGATGCCTACTATTCTTCATCTGTACTAAAACTGTATCTAAAGTTAGACCAATCCCCAGGCCTAGGAGGGGTGTGTCCTGGGTTATGCTTGGGCCATGGCAGGAAAACGTTTATTATGTGAATAGAACATGTTAATAAGATGCCATGGTGGTATTTTGTTGGGCTACTACCTACAAGGTCATCAGTTTGAAACTACCAGCTGCTCCTCTTGAGAATGAGGGGCTTTCTAGTCCATAAAGAGTTACAGTCTCCAGAAATCACAGGGGGCAGTTCTAGGGTCACTATGAACCAGCATAGAATCAATGGCAGTGAGTTTGGTTTTGGGATTTATTATGTTAATAGAAGGAACCTTGGTGACATAATTGGTTCATGTTGGGCTGCTAAATACAAGGTCAGTGGTTTGAACCCACAAGCTACTTCCTGGGAGAAAGATGAGGCTTTCTGCTCCTGTAAAGACGTACAGCCTCAGAAACCCCAGGAAACAGTTCTACTCTGTCCTATAGAGTTGCTGTGTGCCCCAGTCGACTTTATGGTAGTGGGTTTAGTTCATTGTATTATGATTTTGAGATGTTAGAGCAACCATGCATTTCTGGTATAAATGCGATTTAGTCATTCTGTGGAACGGGAACGGAATGACTATTAAGAACACCCTGGGGCCAGAATTTAGGTGCAGGGTACAAAGGCTGGCTTCCTGGGCATGAACCCTGTGCTATCATTCAGGGTATATACTCACTTAGTTTAATGTTCTTCTGTAGCTGTCTTGAAAGTTTTAATAATTTTGAACAATGGACTTGAATTTTTTTTTGAGTTCCTCAGACAGTAATTTTTTTAAAATCATTTTATTAGGGGCTCATACAACTCCTATCACAATCCATATACACATCAATTGTGTAAAGCGCATTTGTACATTCATTGCCCTCATCATTCTCAAAACATTTCCTCTCCACTTAAACCCCCGGCATTAGGTCCTCATTTTTCCCCTCCCTCCCCGCTCCCCCCTCCCTCATGAGCCCTTGATAGTTTATAAATTGTTATTTTGTCATATCTTGCCCTGTCCGACGTCTCCCTTCACCCACTTTCTGTTGTACGTCCCCCAGGGAGGAGGTCACATATAGTTCCTTGTAATTGGTTCCCTCTTTCCTACCCACTCTCCCTCTACCCTCCCTGTTTCGCCACTTACAGTTGCCTCCAAAATCATGTAGCCAGTCAAGAATGGCGGGGAACCTCAAGTCTGGCATCCACAATATCAGAATGAACACAGCTTTGTCAGGGGAGGGTACGCTAATAGGATGGCATCACCTCTAACAGGTACACATATGTTCATGTGCACATCCTACACCGAGGAAGGTCCATAATGAGGAAGGGATAACAAATAGGGGCTGAGACTGTGTGGGGATGGACAGACACGTTGGCATGATGGAAACCTGGAAAAGGATGCTCTTATTAGTGACCTTGGCCTGTTGTCATGCATTTTCCCTATATTATCTCATTTGACTTCATGAGAACCCCAAACCAAATTCACTGCCATCAAGTCAGCTACAACTCACAGTGACCCCATGTTGCATAGGTTCCCAAATGTATTTGGCTAACCACATCCTTTTCAGAGACTACTCAGTCCCCACCCCATGGTGGCAATTTAAAATGTTTGTACTACAACCCATAATCCAGGATAAAATGTGTCTGTTTTTGCAGCGCCCTGGATCATTCCAATGTTCTCCAGGGGCGGCATTGTCCACTTTGGGAAATACTGTTATATAGGGTTGAAATGGTCCAGAGGACGTACTCCACACTTAGCTCTTGCTGATATTGAGATCCCTCCCCCTGCTTCTCAGAAGGCTCCTTTTATATGCAGCAGGATGGCACTGCAGGGAATTGTGTTCACAATTACTCATAGGCAAATGCTATCAGTATTTGCCTCCCTCCTTCTTACCACACTCATGGAGGAAATGGTCCTGTGGTGGGAGTTAGAGACTTTGGTTAGAAGAGCCACATAATTCACTGCTGCTGCAGGCTCCATCACCAGGAGAGGGAGACATTACCCTCATCTTATAGGTAAATAAATGTGTCCAGATACATCACGTAACTGGGGTCACAGAGAGAGTGGCAAGTAAAGTCCCTCTGACTCTGAAGTCTGCCTTTTCCAGAAGCTTGTACTTCCTCACTCAATAGTTGGTGATGGAAAGAGAGAACAAACCAAACCAAAAAACCCATTGCCTTTGGGGTCAACTGTGTCTTATGATAACCCATGTGTTAGAGCAGAACGGAGCTCTCATGAGATTTCTTGGTTGTGATTTCTATGGAAGCAGATCACTAAACCTTTCTTCTACATCACTGCTGGGTGGATTTGAACCCTTAACTGTGTCAGCAGCTGTGTTAGTCTGGGTACTTTAGAGAAACAAATCCACAGAAACTCATATGTGTAAGAGAGAGTTTTATATAAAGGTTAAGTGCACATCAAGAAAACATCCCAACCCAGTGCTGCCCAAGCCCACAAGTCCAACATTAGCCCATATGTCCAACACCAATCCATAAAATCTTCCTCCATCTCACAAAACACACATTATGATGCTGACTGCAGGAGGAAAGCTGAATCAGTGAACGTGTAAGCATCTCAGCGCTGGCAGGGGTCTCAACATGGGTGCTCCAGCACTCAGGGCTGCATCGGGGTAGGTCCATGAGGCTTCTCCTCAGGGATGTCTTACAGGAAGTGAGCCTTGCCACCTGAAGCAGGGGACTGGCTAAGGCAAAGCAAGAGACCCGAGAACTAGAAAGGCGAGGCTCACTGAGCCATTTATCTCTCCACCCTGCAATTAACCCCACATGCGTTTATCGGCCAGGTTGGCACAATAAACTTTAACTACCTCAGCAGCCAATCACAAATGATTTGTGCCACCCAGGAATCCCCTAAATGGATAGGAAATTTACAAACAGGTTAGAAACAAATCCCATCCTTGATAAAAGGGAGGCAAAAAACCATTATGACACATATACTATAGGAGGGACATTGGTGTTCAGTGGTAGAAGTCTTGCCAGCCAATGCGTCCATTTGTCAGTGGAGCTTTTTGTGTGGCCCTCTGCTGGTGAACTGGTCTCACTGGGGCCTCCAGACTAATACAATCTAGGAAGAAAGACCTGTTAGTCTACTTCCCCAAAATACGTCAATGAAAATCCTATAGACCATAAAGGTCTGATCCCATTGAACATGGGATTGTCATGACTTAGGGCCTGACGCCATGGCAGCTAAAGCCAATGGCAGCATACTACGTACGGAATTCTGGGCAAAGCTACAAAGGATAAGGAGGTCTCTATGCGCTAATGTGGAGAGTTGCCCACACACGTATTTAGAAAAAAGGGGGATTGCGGAACAATGTGTTCAGGGTGATCCCTTATACACACACACACACACACACACACACACATTTGAAGACTACCATCACTCACTCTGGTGTGTATGAGCTAGGTTGCAGGACTTTCCAGGCTTCCAGGAGCAGGTAAGATGCAAATGGATACATGGCAGGGGGAGGTAGTCTTTGGCCCTGAACTGTCAGGCTGAGCCAGTCTTTGAGTTCCAGGATGAGGACAGCAGCCACCCTCTCCCTGGGTCAGTACTAGAGCCAGGACACTCCTGGGAAGATCTTGTCCTGAGGCCAGGGGTTGAAAACGGTGCTAAATCTCCACAGCCAAAGGGAACGGCTTACAGTCATTTCTCTTAACTGCCTTCTTCTAGGCCCAGGAAGAACGCAACTTCCACATCTTCTACTGCATGCTCATGGGGATGAATGTTGAGGAGAAGAAACTGCTATCACTGGGGATGCCCTCCGAATACCACTATCTGACCATGGTAAGGCTTGCCCTTCCTCTACCCCGCTTGCCTCTCTTCTCTATAGAAAATGCAGAAAGCGGAGCAGGTGAGGAAGAAAGGCCAGGGTATATTAAAATCTGGGCTTACTGTGGCAGAAGAGCTCAAATTCCATCTTGACCCCTAAATTCCCACTCAATCCCTCTGTTTCTGGCATCAAATTACAGAAATGTATACTCCTAAATGTGCTCCTCATTTTCTGCTATGGAATTGTACCTCCATGCTCCAAACTGAACCCCTGTTCTTCCCCCACAATCCCTCTCATCTTTTGGTCACCCAGGGCCAAAGAAGTCATCACCCCTGTGAGTCATCAAGAAGTCACCTACACTCACCTCCTTAGTTTCACATCCAATTGCCTATCCCCCTAGGTGCCCCTTAAGCAGCTGCCTTTGAAAGTAAGGGCCTTGTTTTTAATGGTCCCCCATTGCCCCAGGATAATGCCGCACAAATAGCCCGCCAGTTCATGCTTATTGATGAATGATTGAATGAATGAATTCTGCCTCTTGAGTGTGTATACAATCCCTGCCCGCCTTAAAGGTCTTCATCATCTCTTGCCTGGGGCATTTCAGTAGTTTCCTCACCTTCTAATCTCCCTTTCCTTTAGGCATTAGAACCACTAGGTCCAAAAGTAGTCTTCCTAAAATGCCAGTCTGACTATCTTGTCTCTGGTTAAAATTCTTCGGTGATCTCACTGTGTGGTGGATACCTGGTTTCTAAGCCTCTCCATGGTCTAACCCACTGATTTCTCTTGTCACACCTGGGATCACAGCTCCCATACAATAGCTCCCCAGGGCCTCTTCCCCAGTGCCTTTGCTCACACCGTCCCCAGCCTAGAAGGCCCTATCCCCACCATCAGTCCTTTTCTCCAAGATGTTTTCCTACTTCTCAGTGAGCTGGTCTTCTGTTGTTGCAATACACATAGCTCAGATGGATGTGATGAAGTGTTCACTGCCTGCCCCACTGAGTGCACACACTTGGGAACTTCTACTTCAAACTTTCTAGCAAGTAGTACAGGGCATGGCACACAAGGAGCCTTGGGAATGACTTGTTAATGGCTGAAATTGCTGCATTCAGTCTCAAGATCCAGGTACAGGAGGTCTCACTGATCCTGTGAGGGGGGGTGACTAATGGAGGCTCAGGGAAGTGAAAGGTTGGATCCAGGACCACACAACATACTGCGACAAAGCTGAAAAAGCCCTTCAGCCCTCATGGCTTCACACTTGGTGCTTCCAGGCCTGAGCCGGGCTTTGCTTTTCCTTCTCTTTGTTCAGCTTTTGGGCATGGGGTTAGGCAAGGTGGGATGAAGTGGGGGACACCAAGATCATGCAGGTTCTTCATCCTGAAAGAGGGCACTCTCAGACCTTCCTTTTCTGCAGCCCTCTCTAGCTCCCTGGCACAACTCTGGTCATCTTTGAGTTGGGGGTTACATTCAGATTCTAGCCTGAGCCCCATTCAAAGTCCTAGGACCAAGGCCTTAGAGTGGATTTGAGTACTAAGTTCTGGGCCAGTCCTTCTGGTTAATCTCCCCTCATGGGCCCACAGGGGTCTCTATTTCATGGGTTTAGTCCAAGGTGTATGATGTAAGTGGATACCTATCCATCCCTGCTTTGTGATTTGCTCAGTGGGTTTTTTTACCAAACCTATCTTTAATCTTCATAGCCTCTGTGTACAATAGGTATGAAGCTCTCAGCTGTTTTATAAGGGGAGGCTGGGGTTCAGAAAAGCAAAATGCCAGAGTCCCAGAGACAGCTCTGTCTTATTAACAGAAGGAGGGGGGTGGGGGCAAGGAAGGTCTACAGTGACACTTTCTTCATTCTTGGCACAAGAGCTAAGACGAGTATAAGACAGCAGGTGAAGGGGATTGCTGGCTTGGGGTGGGGCATTGGCACCTGCCCCATGAAGCCTTGTGTCAACTATGTGTGTGCCCTGTCCTGTAGGGGAACTGCAGCTCCTGTGAGGGTCTCAGTGATGCCAAGAACTACGCCCACATCCGCTCGGCCATGAAGATCCTCATGTTTTCCGACTCCGAGAACTGGGACCTAAGCAAGCTGCTGGCAGCCATTCTCCACTTGGGAAATGTGGGGTTTATGGGTAACGTTGCTTCCACTCAGACCTAACTTGGGAGAAGGGAGAGTGGGAGGAGAAGGTCTCTGGGTATTCACACGGGAATGCCTGCAGAAGTTCATTAATCCAGCCTGCCCTTGGGCAGATGAAGAAACCGAGGCCCAGGATGAGTGGGGGTGGCTTGCCCAGGAGACAAAGAGCCAATGAATGGTTTAGAGCAGTGGTTCTCAATCTTCCTAATGCCTCGACCCTTTAATACACTTCCTCAGGTTGTAGTGAACCCCCAATCATAAAATTATTTTCATTGCTACTTCATCACTGTAATTTTGCTACTGTTATGAATTGGGCGACCCTGGGAAAGGGTCATTTGACCCCCAAAGGAATCTTGACCCAAAGGTTGAGAACCGCTGGTTTAGAGCCTGTGTCCCCAGCCTGAGTAACTGTGAGATGGTGCAGCTGATGTGCTCAGCTGATGAAAAAGTTGGAGATTTGAGTCCACTCAGAGGAGCCTCGGAAGAAAAATCTAGTGGTCTACTTCCCAAGAGTCAGCCTCTTAAAACCCTATGGAGTACAATTCTACTCTGAGATAAATAAGTGGGTCACAATGACCTGGAATTTATATGATGACAGCCGGTTTGGGTCTCACAAGCAGGGTCTCTTGGTGGGTCTGGCTTTCCATCTCTGTCATTCACTTACACCCAGAGGTAGGGGGGAACTTCCGGAAGGGGAGACTCAGAAGGAGAAGGAGGGAACAAGTTAAGTGTAGTGGAAACTATAAAAGAAGAGCGAGAGGGAGGGGGTAGTGGGGAGGGAGGGGGAAAAATGAGGAGCTGATGCCAAGGGCTTAAGTGGAGAGCAAATGTTTTGAGAATGATGAGGGCAAGTAATGTACAAATGTGCTTGACACAATTGATGTATGTATGGATTGCGGAAAGTGTTGTATGAGCCCTAATAAATGATTTTTTTTTAAAAAAGAAGAAGGGTGAACCCTGGCTTACAATTCAGTTGGTAGAAAGTGCCAGGGCATGGGAATGGTGGGCTTTGACGACTTGGGGTCTTTCCTGGGCCATGGTCTTCAGATTAGAATGTCAATCCATGTGTGCGGAAGCTAACGCACAGGAAACAATTCTGCACATCTGAGTGAGTGCAGGAGGGAGCAGGACTCACCTGCATCACATCTAAGTGGGCTTCCAAATGTTTATGGAAATCTTTCATTATCCTTCATTTTTCCATAAATTTTTTTAGAACATTTTATTAGGGGCTCATACAACTGTTATCGCAATCCATACACACATCAATTGTGTAAAGCGCATTTGTACATCATTCTCAAAACATTATCTCTCCACTTAAACCCCCGGCATTAGGTCCTCATTTTTCCCCTCCCTCCCCGCTCCCCCCTCCCTCATGAGCCCTTGATAGTTTATAAATTGTTATTTTGTCATATCTTGCTTTCCATAAATATTTGACACTCCCTCATATTCATAATCCTTGAGGGCCTCTCATTCCAGTCTCTTTACCCTGAGGCTCTCTCAGCAATACTGACTAAACACCCGGTCCTACCCCTTGCTACATGCCGGGAACTTAGAGATGAGTAAGGCACAGCGTAAAAATAAAAGTATATCCAGAGTGTCGAGTGCAGTAAACAAGGAGCGAGCTAGCAGGGAGGCCCACTGGATTTGTCAGTTTATCAGTGACACAAGAACGACATGAAAGGGGTCGGGCAACAGGCGAGGGCAGGAGCCTGCAAGTACAGGGAGTTGCATGTATAGAGCCCCAAAGGCAAAAGGGAACAGCATTTAGAGAAATCTAAGCGGTTTCATGTAGCTGAAGTATAAGTTGTCAGGGGGACTGTCAAACCAGGAGGCTGGAGAAGTAGACAGAGACACACCTCTGAAACGTCTTCTGTTCCATATCAAGGAGTCGGACCTTCATCAAGAACTTCTAAATGCCAGACCATAGATTACTAAGGAAAAGAAAAATGTCATTGGATCCCAAAGGAATGGGAAACCCCAGAGCAATGCCATAGATTTTTCAAAGAGCTTAATTGATCCAATTTTTGAAAGTGTGGCCCTTATTTTATATCCCTTTTTAATGTTTTATTTAACAACTTATTAAATTATTTAATGACAATAAATGAAACAAAAGATTGTTTCAATGATCTTTCTTTACAAAAGATTTGATAAGCTTATGCTGAGCCTCAACTTTTCTCTCGACATTCTCCTGGTTTGTGAAAGACAACTTTGCTAGCCCTCTATGAAATATAGGTCCAATGCAGGGCCAAGCAAACCGTGACGGAATCAGCCTCTAGAGAGGCCACTCTCCAACTTGCACTTGGAGCAACAATAGACCAGGTAATTCAGGTCAGCTTTCGTCTAAGCATAGTATTAGAAAATCTTTGAAAAAATAAAAACGGTAAAGGTAAGTCCAAAAGTACTGCTACAATAATCTTAGAAGCCTTCATTCAACCAAAAATTATTAAAACGTGAAGCTATTGTTTCTTGACATGTCCTCTACCTAGGTCTATATGCTGTGATGGCCATGTTTCTCTCTCTAACCCTCCCTTACCGATTCTGCACATTCCTAAAACTGTACATCATGTCAAAATGGCAGAGGGACTCACATAAAGTACCTTGAGTTTGGGGAACAAAAACAGGGCTGACAGGGCCAGATATGGACTGTCAGAGGTATGGGGTGAGGCTTCCCAACCAGACTCTGGCAGAACAGCCTTTGCGCCCTCAAAGAGGGAGCAGGTGCGTTGTTGTGAGAGGAAGAAATTCCTTCATACAAATGTCCCAGTAATTTCCCCTCCCACTTTATTGCAATACTTTCTTTATTGCAGTGGTATGAAACTGAACCTGCACTATCGCCGAAGTATTCCTGCAGTGTATTGACTCCATGTTCTCTGCCATGGCTTAAAAAAAAACATTTTATTAGCATACAATTCATGTACCATACAAGTCAATGGTTTGAATATGTTTTAAAATGAGTGTGCAATCATCACCACAATCAATTTTAGATGATTTCTTCATTTTTGTACTCATTATTAGCTCCCCATCTCTCCCCAACCTCCCCTAAGGTAATATTAATGTAGTTATTATCTGTATAGATACTATAAGTAAGCTCCATGGGGACTTTGATAATTCTAATAGTGGTATCGTTAAGCAAGCCAGATCATATCGGCTCTAAAATACTATTGGGATAAGAGGGGTATTCATATATGGGAAAGCTTTTTAGGCTAAATACATGGTATATCCACTTACACATATTAAAACACTTAAATAGCTGAATCCTGTCTTTGAAAACAATGAGGATTCGACACAAGGCACAAAGTTCAATTACACTCATTCTCGACAGCAGAACTATATCTATAGCACTAAGATATGTCTTTAAAAGCTAATATATATATAGTGGCAAATATATGATACTCCTAAGTTGCATGTTGTTGTTGTTGTTGTTGTTGGGTGCCCTCAAGTTGGTCCCAACCCACCCCGACCTGTGCACTACAGAATGAAGCACTGCCTGCCTGGCCCGGGCCATCCTCCCAGTGGTCCCTATACCTGTACCCATGGTTGCAGCTACTGTGTCAGCCCATCTCCTTGAGGGCTTTCCTCTTTCTTGGTGGCCTCTCTACTTTACCAAGCATAATGTCCTTCTCCAGGGACTGAGCTCTCCTGACAACACGTCCAAAATATTGGGCAACCTCAAAAGCAAGAGGTTTGAACCTAAGTCCAGTGACTTCCTCCTTTTCCCTGACGACGGCATTACAGCTTTAAGTCTAAAGGGGGCATGCCAGTTCCGTTCTTCTGCAACAGGTGTGTTTAAGGTAAACTCCCGTTCATGTAGTGGGTTTGCCCACTCAGATCCTTCTCATGTTGTCCTGGCCTTTCTCACCAACGCACTTTTCAATTTTCTTGGAACTTCTTCGTAGTAATCCTCTGTGATAATCCAGTGTCTTTTGAGAAAATATCTCAAGATGACCCCTCGGGGGTTCCCCAGTTGCCATAAGCCTCTGAGTTGATCTCCTGGAATGTAACTGGCCCAGTGGATGCCCTCAGAAGCCACT